ACAATAAACTGGCAAAAACATTTTGTTTCTGATGCCGGGGATGGAACCCAGGGCTTCACTCATGTGGAACAAGTGTCCAGCCATGGCGGTGCCCTGTCCACACCCACAGAAACAGACTTTATTCAGGGTGGTCTGGATGGTGCAGAGACCCCAGCATGAAGTGAGCCCCAAGCACAGCTTGGATGCTGGGGACCACCACCGACGGACCCCTGGGAGTCAGGGGAGTGAGGGGTTCCGGCTGAATGGACCCATAGGACTCTGCTGAAAGCAGCTGGGCCCGGGACACCAAAGGAGCAGGCTCTTGCTGAAACTGGCTCTGCTGAGTCCCAGCACAGGGGGTCTAGGAGCAGATTGGCCAGCAGACTGTCTGGGCCTGGGGAGGCTGGAGGGTGGGAGCCCCAGTCGGGGTCCCAGAGCCCCCAGCGCATTTCATCCCCATCTACAGTGGGACTAGAGTCCCTGCATCCTTATCATGCCTCTGGGCAGAGCCCCGAACCCAAACCCCACCCTCAGCCTTAGGGTGGTCCCCAGTACCAGTTCACAGAGGGGGTGATCTGGACTGAGGAGCTCAGTCTGTGGCCTGGGGGGCCTAGGAGCTGGGGGGCAGGAGGGGGTGCTGGGGCAGTACCCGTGCCCCCCTTGAACAGGCAGCCCCCAATAGGTGGGGACAGACTTTCAGGACCTTTGCTTTCTGACCTTTGACTGCACCAAAACAGGGAGGGCAGCCTGGGGGCAGAGTTTCAGATGGGGATTAGGAAAAGGGTGCAGTGATGCCCCCAGTTGTTCCCAGATACGGCCCTGAGGTGAGGACCCGGTGGCAGGGGAAGGGGAAATCCTGGAGGGGTGTGAAGCACCCACCTATGGGCACCTCTCGGGGCCCTGAGCCTGGGGAGGGCAGGTTCCAAAGACCTCAGACAGAAGAAGCAGAGTCCTGGGGGCCAGGACCCCAAGACAAAGAGCCGCATCTGCCCAAGGAGCTGAGCCAGGATGGGGGAGCTAGTGTCCAGGACAGTGGGTGGCAGCGGAGAGACCCGGTGGACTCCAGAGAAACAGGAAAATCAGAGAAACAGAAAAAGCCCACTGCCAGGTGTCCTGCAGGTGTGGGACAGGGACCTCAGAGGAGTGGGCCACTGGGAGGGCTCCCCAGGGCCTGGAAGATGTTGAGGAGACTCTGGGAAATGTAGGAGGGAGGCAGACTTCTTTAGGGAGACAGAGAAGAAACCAAGGAGCTTTCATTCTGGAACCAGAGCCTCTTTCTAGAAGGAGGCCAGGGTTGGGACAGTGAAGTCAGAAAAACCAAGACCTAGCTGCACCCTTGGAATGTGGTGACCCAGGGTCACTGGATGATCAGGACAGCCTGGTGGGTGGGAGGGGCTGAGGAAGGGCCGGTGGGCTGCTGGCTTTAGGGAGCAGTGGGGAGGAGGACCCCCTCCTGGACGAAGCTGTGGCACAGAGGCACAGGGCTTGTGGAGGAGGCGCCTGGGGTGGGGGCAGGAAGAGACACAGAGGCAGGGCCAGGAGGCAGGCAGTCGGCTGGGGCCGGATCAGCTGTGCCGAGGGAGCCCAGGGACAGGACAAGGTCTGAGACCCCCGGGGTGACCAGAAAGGGCTCATGGGGCTCCCCTATTCAGAGCTCTCCCGAGCAGCCACAGGCTCCGACCCCACCCCGCCTCCACCTGCAGTGCTCCACCAGAGCCGGGTGTGGGGAGAAAAGCAGCCGGTCCTTCCCGGCAGTCAGGAAGGTGACCAGGGTGCATCGGGAGGT